CGAGAAGAACAGCGGCAGAAGAATTCATGCTGGAAGATAATTAAAGAAGGAAAAAAAAAGCAGACAAGACAAAGAAGAATTGGATCCACCACATTAAAAAGCCGTAGATGTAAATCTTCTTTGAGTTCTTTTAAGAAACATTTTAAAAAAAAGTAAAGATCCCTTTTCACGCCTATCGGGCATATGGGCAGAGCGTCCCATATTTTTACAGACCATCAGCACTCTGTGGGTAATGTGGTCAGCATTTCGCCGGCTGTCTTTACTTTCCCAGGACAGCCCATCCTGGTACCCATTTTAGGCTGGGTCGACCTGCGACGTCCCATACCACGACAAGAATCCTCGCAGCCTGCAGTGGGTTTCGACACATGCCCAGGACATAATCTGTCGTAAACAAAATATATTTGTAAACAAACAATCAGGTTATGTAGTGTCTCTTTTAATGACAGCGTATTTATTCATTATGAAACAAATATATTACAAAATGAAGACAGTTTTATCTATCTTTCTTTGTCAATTGAGACGATAAAGAGATATCTTAAAAGCTATATAAATCCTATCTTGCTGTACGGGTGTGAATCATGGACAGTCATTAAATTAGTGAAAACTTATTTGGAAGCTGCGGAGATGTGGTTTTATAGACGAATGATGAGAATACCCTGAACTGATAAAAAGAGAAATGAAAACGTCTTGACATAAACTTACTCACACAGAGAACTGACTGGCTAGATCAGAAAGATACAATCTACATTCTTTGGCCATATGACAAGAAGGGGAAAACTGGAGTACATTCTGACGGTAGGAAAGTTGGAGGGGTGGAGAGGCAGATGGAGACAGAGAGAACAGATGATGGACAGTGACATCATGGCAAGGAAGATCATCTGTGTCAAAGTTGACTGAAAGTATACGATACAGAAGGTTGTGGATAGACATGACTATCAACGCCACACGGTATGGACTTTTAAGAAGAAGAAACATATGATCAACAAGTCCATATACACTAAATGGGATCAGTAACACAAAAACATCAGAACTGAAATTGGAAAAAACAAAACAAAACAAAAGACTGTATAGTAAGTACATTTATTATACATTCAAGTTAACCTAAATGTTATGTAAACAGATCTTTCCAGTGTGCAGGGTTCAGTGATCCTATTAGAGGGAAAAAACGAAAGATTAACTGCCCCTTAACAAACGTGTTAAAGGCGAATAATGAAGGGTTTCCTGAAATCGGATGTGTCGGGCTGAAAGACGCAGATATAATTTTGAAGGGCGAACGAAGAAGGGCGTGGAGAAAACGAAGAAAGAAGAAAAACATTTTTCACTACTTAAGTACATTTTGTTTATAGATTTTGTAATTACTACAGGAAGCCGTTAGCACAGTGACTAGACGCTATACCGTCGGCCTGAAGGTCTTCGGTTCAAGTCAACATGTCGAGACAGATTTTTTATTTTCCAGCCCGATCGGCTGAGCCTAAAATGGGCGCCATGCACTGTCTTGGGAAGTAAAGGCGACCGATGTGATAGTGACCACAACTTCAATCAAGTGATATTATGTCAATAAAACAGAATATGGGCCGAGCACTGTTTATATTTCCGATGACACAATGGCATGACAAGAACCGTGCTGTTTACACAAAGCGATCAATAAACCTATTCATTTCGCCAGTAAACATTCACTAAGTGCGTTTTATTATTTCTATTTTTTATTACTCGCACAAGCAATCATGCGCTCTTGCATCTCGTGATCGCTAACAGAACGTATCGTATCGATTCCCATGCTGTCATTTTTCGCAAATCTCTCATTAATCTTCTTTGGTTTGGGAGCCGCAGTGGTGAAGCGGCTAGATGCTGGCCTGATCAAAAGGTTCTGGAGGAACAGGAGTTGTTTTCAAAAATGGGTTTGGCTCCTTGGTCGAACCAGCCTTTAGTGGGTACCAGATATTGCCGTGGGAAGTAAAGACGACCACATGGAGTGCCGACTGGTCTATAAAATATAAATCTAGCCCCGTGTGCCCAATACTATGAAAGGAATGGAAATGTTTCCTTCACGTTTACCCAATAATTGATTCTGCGGTTACAACATATGGCAATTTTTTTTTCTTTCTTATAATGTACCCAAAATACTCATTATGAATGCAATATAACATCAGAGAAACTCTACAATAGCACGATGTGCTTATGGTCGAGGCAGCCAGAAGAGCTAGAAACAGAACCTTATATCTCCCTCTACACCCACAGCGATAAAAGAGGAAGTGAAGAAGAAGAAGAAGAAGAAGAATGCAATATAGTAAAAGGAGACCTCTTAGCGTATTGGGAGTATAGGACTAGACCTATATTTGTGTAGACCGATCGGCACTTGGTGGGTGATGTGGTCAGCACCAGGCCAGCCACCTTTACTTTCCAAGACTGGACCTGGTACTCACTCAAGGCTGGGTCTACATGGGAGTCAGGGTAATTTTTTAAAAACAAAAAAAAGTCCGGCTCTGTGAGGACGCAAACCAACGACCTTCCGATCCGCAAGCGGGCGTCTAGTCGCCAACGCAACGGCGACTCTCTTGCTAGTAATATAGGTCCCAAATATAAACTGTCTTTTTCTGTTTTGACCTCTCTGTAAGTGGGCTTCCAGATAGTCAACGGTTTCTGCGGAGGCTGGAGTGTGTGTGACACATGTCCTCGGTGATCCATGCAGTTTGGTTTCCACAGCGATGCTAACCTGCTAGATCTGGAATCGCCCTACTGCATGTAAAGAGCACGTCTACAGTTAGTCTTTCACCTTGAACCAAGGCCGGCGCACAAGGCAGAGGTCATAGCTCTCAAAGTCCAGCGGTTAGTTCCCACCTGTTTTAGATCTTGGATGTTTTTCAGGCCCATGGTTGAGCCTTTCCTGACGATGGTTATACGCAGGGTTTCTCTTCCTCTTCTCCGTTTTCTTTTCTCATTTATATAAGGGCTTGATGTGGCAATCGTGTGTTATCCATTATTAGTGCATGGGAAATTGGATAAAGAAATTAACATTAGATGCAGTAAAGCAAACCAAGTATTGGGACAGCTAGCCCCCTCTCTTACAGCATAAGACAATCCCAATCAGCACAATTCAAAGCATATTTATTCCAACTCTGTGCTGCCAGTGCCAGACATGGTCACTTACAACAAACCATAATGACCATGACCAATGTAGGAATGACCATAAGAGATAAGATCAGGAATGAGATCATAAGAGAACAAGTCGGCACAGAACCAATTCTGGATTACATACAATGACAGCAAGTGAAATGGTTTGCCCACTTAGAGAGAATGCCTTGTGACATCATACCATACAAAGCATACATGGAAAGAGAAGAAGGACGTAGTGCACGGGGTAGACCAAGAACAAGATGGAAGGATAACATCAGAGAAACTCTACAACAGCACGATGTGCCTATGGTCGAGGCAGCCAGAAGAGCTAGAAACAACCTTATATCTCCCTCGACACCCACAGCGGTAAAAGAGGAAGTGAAGAAGAAGAAGAAGTGCATGGCTGATGTAGTTCCAGTGGTGATTTCTTATAAAATTGAACACACTGTCTTGCTTGGTCTCTTGTCTTATTTGTGCATTGGATCTGAAATCTGTCAAGTGGAGATTGAGTATTCTTTTAAAACGTGTTCCCATTTTTTTTTAAATCTACTGCCACCGCTGCTTTCCAACTCTCGCTTTCATAAGTAAGTTAGCACTAGGATCGCAAATGAGCTGAAGATTTTTTGTGTTTGCCTAATGTCTGTGACGTCTAGATGTTTGACACTTTGTTGAAGAGACAAGATGTCAGTGTGAGGCTAGATGCTATTTCTGGAGCTGAATCCTCTATAGATGTATGCAGTACACATTGAGTAGTTTGTGGTGCCTGAGCACATGGGTCCGAGTCCACAATAATTACTCGAGTGAGTGATGTTCAACCGCATAAAGAGAGATAAAACACCCGATGATGCAAAATGACACCATTCTAATGAGTATAACCCGGATGGCAGTCCCAGAAATTCCGTTCAACCATTAGGTTATATTAGGGCCCCTTACGACAACCGGGATGGGGCTTTAACAAAAAATTGACTTCCGTTTTGGAGGCGGAGTTATAATAATTAATCCCTAATATGATCTTTAGTCAGTCCAACGGATTTCGTTTGTCTGTGTACACACGCTTTATGCATTGAATTATAAAGTAATGACATTAATAAATAATTGTCTCGACATTAATGTCTTTTATAAAGGATAATATGGATACATTTTTCTTTTTTTACATAACAGTATAAACATTCCGTGAAATAAGCCTTAAGGCGTCTTCTAGAGACACAATTTTTAAAAAAAAAATCCTGTTGTTGTTGTTTTAAGAATGGATAAGCGGTTTTCTGCTCTCTCTGTCTGGGATCTGATATCATACATTTGAATATATTGACTCCAGACAAGCAAAAACGAAGCATTTCTTTTCACTCAAATGCGCCAGTTTTCTAGGATCTCAATGTCCAAATGCGATTTTCGGGAAACAAGAATTTAATAGAAAGGTAACTTTGGTGAAGAAGGCGGCGCTATATTGGACACATCCTGAGCAGAAACGAGCAGATTAAACAAGTTCTGAAATGGAAAATAAAGGGAAGGCGGTACGGTTGGAAAAAAAAAGGGAAAGGGGTACGGTTGGGACCCCCCCCCCCCTCCCCCACCTAAAACGAAGGTTGGTGAGAGAGGCCAAGGGTGCTGGATTGGATACCATCCGTGATATCAAAGGTATAAGCACGTAATGGAGGCATAGACGGCGAGCCCTGTGTGACATATAATGACACAACAGGACACTGATGATACTAATGATGACGATGATGTTGGCGAGTGCCATTATACTATACTGTAGTAAATAAACGTATTTGCGTTTTGTTTGGGGCGTCAGGATAGTAATCATGTCTGGTTGCAATTGGTAAAGTATGTTGTTAAATGGCTTAGAATCAAATGAAACCAGAATGGGCATTAAAGACCACAGAAAATCAAACCGCGGCTCCGATGTCCTCGCCGTAGACGTCTGGCACAAGAGAGCCTTCGATGGCCAGGGCAAAGATGAGACCGTCGTGAGGCTTTGAACCTGGGCTGCTGGTAATCTGGGCTTTTCTGCTTCCAACCCTGAAATCGATTACTGCACCGCAATGGCAAAAGTCACTCTGTGGAAGAATTTTGATACTGATGAAAGGATGAAATTTCTAATTACAGTATCTATCAAAGACAAGGGATTCTCAAAATAATCGGGATACTGCCGCATACCATCTCCCCAATTTCCAGTTACGGGTTGCAAGATGTTATAGTAGACATAATGCCAAATTATACGTATACCTTTGTTTTTGTGTGTGCAAGGGATTTCTTTTTTTTTTTAATGGAAAAAAATACCCTACAACAATGCTGGTACTCTCCAGAAAGTGTCCACACAAAAAAAGGTGCCTTTAGTCTACAAAATTGGCGCTGAAAAGATGATTAAAAAAAGGTGTGGGTACTCCGCACCACCATTTAAAAAAGCCCTATACATGCATGTTAATTGCGCATCCTTTAAAGGACGTTGCAAAACCAACACCAGCATTGGCTGTTGTGGGTTTTATAGGCAAATTTACGTCCAGTAGTGTGCCATTGCTTTCTGGGCGGTCGGCTTCTCGTTACCACTGTTAAAACTAACGCAAGGCGCAAGGCCTGCAGCTGGGATCGAACCCGGCACCCCGGCATTACGAAGCGTGTGCGCAACACCTTAGCCACAGATGCTAACCCTGTATATACATAGGCACACATAAGTAAATGTAGTTAACTCTTTGAGTCCCAAGGAACGCATCATACGTTCATAGGTTACTGCCTAGAAGCACAATGAACGCACGATGCGCCGATTTTACGTCTCTTTTGACTACCTCTTGGGCCTGTGATGCTAAACCCTCTGGGACTCAAAGAGTTAAGGAAACTAGAAAGGGGTGAAGGTTAGTTGACACAGTTTAGGAAATCACTGATGAAGAGGTCGCTAGTCTAATCGATCATCCCAAACATAACAGGAAGAGACAATTAGCTCCGTATTCCTACATCCCTTTGCAAATCAGCTCCAGCTGTTTGCAATGTAACTAGGCAATTTTATTTTCAGTAACATGTCAATGCTTCTGTCAAGTCGGCTCTTCACACCCTGCCGAAATCAACGCAAGGCGGTCTGCTGTCAAATTGCTTGCAACTGAATCAAACCGGGCATTTCAGAACTACAAGCGACGGCGCAACTGCTAAGCTACAATTGCCATAACAAGGAGCCAGTAAACCTACCTAACCTGTAGTTCTGCAAACCCACCCCACCTCTGCTCTAATGTCACACCTCATAGTCTTCTGTTCCTTATAGTTATGTCGGGTGGCGTTGGTAGTCATGAGTATCCACAACTTTCTGTCTCGTCTAGGGGGCTGCGTGGTCTCGAGGCATGGTGTCCGCCTCGAGTGCTAGAGGTTCCGGGTTCAATCCTCGGTAAGGACTAGGATATTTCACATAGATTTGGACTTCTAGTTATCCGCCCTCCCCTTTCCTCACCCCTCCCCTGGTCTTTGGGTAGTGAGATTGGGCACTCGTGTGCATTGTTGCGCATGTAAAAAAAAATCCCTTGGCAGTTGGAAATTGAAAAGAGTAGCCTAACGGCGCTGCTCGGGCAAAAATTTGGAGTTCAAAATCTACTCAAAGTATTTCAGGTTCCTCGCCGGTGCCACAGAGCCTATGCACTGTGCTGCTTCTTCGGACACTGTGCTGAGCTTATTCGGACTCAGACTTGAGTTAGAAGAAGAACGGAGCACTTATGTGTGCCATGATGTTGATCCGTTGTTCAAACTTCAAACTTGTGTCTCGTGTACTTTCAGTACACAGATCATCTTTCCCGTCACGTTTATCAAACTGTCCAGCGTCTTCTTAAATAGATCACCTTTTAACCTTTGCCCCTTCCAACTTTCCCACGGACACGATGTACTCCAATTCTCTCCTTCTCGTGACTTGACTAAAGAATGTAGATTGCTTTTTACTGATGTGAGCAGTCTTCGTGCGTAAGTCAGTTTTTTTTTTTCAAGCAATCTTCGTTACTCTTTTGATCTTTCCAGAATCTTCTTATCAGTCGTCTGCAAAACTACATCTCCACCACGCTCAAATAATTTGTCCAGCAGTCCTTGATTCACTGCCATATATTAGGATAGGATTTATATAGCTCTTGACAATTGTCTTTCTCCTCTCACTTGACAAAAAAATATTGCATAGAATAAATCTTTGAGTCCCAGGGGGTTTAGCATCACAGGCTCAGGGGGTAGTAGATAGAGTCATAAAATCAGCGCATCATGCGTTCGTTGGGCTTCTAGGTAGGAACCTATGAACGTATGATGTGTTCCTTTGGACAAAGAGATCATCTCAAAGTCAGCTTTTGCTTTTTAATAACTGTGTCATGCTGTTTATAAAACAACTGTCAAATCTATTTTATAAATCTTTTTATAATCTACGCCATCATCTGTTTGCAGTTTTGTGTCGCGTGTAGGGCTACTCATTAAAAAAAAAATAATATAGATGCACATCCATTCGGTGACCCCCAACCTTCTAGCATCTTCTCTCATCCGACTTCTGCTCCCCTCCATTTTCCATGTAAGGGTTTTGCCTTATTCATGGCGTGTCTCCCACTCTCTTCGTAATTATAATTGACCTATACTTACAGTCAAACTTGTCCAAGGATTGGAACCTGGGTCTCCCATATGATGTGTGAAAGATATGTTCAACCAGCTGCTGTTAACGTTCAGCGGAAAGTTCTGGTTGTTCTCACTCTTCTGGACTTTTGTATCGTTCCGGAACTTGACTCCTCTGTCCACTTCTGTTTTGCAGATCTGGCTTATTTCTATGCACACTGCTGATTCCTCTCCCTCTCGGGCAGATGCACACCGACTTTAAACTAAACACTCATAAATAGTCGCATTTATGTTTGTTATGGCCACAGTGGATGTCCTAAAGCGAATTATTGACTCTCCATGGCCACGTAATCTTCTGCTTCGCGCACACCTGCCATAAACACCGGCGGAAAGTTCTGGCTGTTCCACAACTTTTGAACTTTAGTCTGGTTCAAGAACCCGAGTGTAGCGTGCACATCTGTTCTACAAATTTAACTTATCTGTATGCAGATTGTTGGATACTTGCGATCTGACTTCGAAGGAAGACCCAGTTTACGACATGAATGTTGGGGAGGCATTGGGTCTATTCTTGTTTTTCCCACAATGGGATCTAAGAACCCACACGGAAAGGCCACGCGATAAAGCCGTTTGTCTAGCGCTTTGAGGGTGGGAGCTTCGTTTTTCCGACGCGTCGTTTTTACGGACACCGCGCGATGGTCTCTAGAGCAACAGAGTTCGTTTGTGTGCGACATTGTAGGCAAGCGCTAGATGTTCTCCATAGAGAGAGACCGAACCATTTAGTTGTTCCTTTCAACTTTATCTTTTTAAATATCAAATCAGTATCGTTTTGGGGGGTCGCTTTTCATTTATCAATCCTAGTATATTATAACCACACGAACAGTTTAAATCCTTGCATTAGGCTAATCACTTTAATCGGAAACGAAGATTTCAAAGTAACATTTATTCCTGAACTAGTTCTTCTATTTTACCTCCATCCTTTTAACGGACTGAATCTTGAAGATTTAACCAATCTTAGATTAAAAATTCTCAGAATGGATGGCGATCTAACAGGGAAAATCCCAACTTTCCTGTTTAACGTCTAAAGTAGTTACAGCTGGAGCGCCACAACAGCGACGCCAGCCGGGTACAACCTGCAGCCATGCATTTAAAAAAAAATAAGTAAAGGACCCTTTTCCACGCCTATAGGCGTATAGGGCATATAGGGCTAGACGTATATTTTTATACATCAATCGGCACAAGATGGGTGATGTGGTCAGCATCACGCCGGTCGCCTTTACTTCCCGGGACTCATGAATGACAGAGACTATATTTATCAACCCCAATCTAGCATTACTCGTGTGGCTCAGAGTTTGGGTTTCATAATCTCCAAATATCAAAGTTCGAAATCAGCTACAAGATGCAGACCTCTTTTGTGCTGACATTAACAAGGGGATGAGTAGTTCGCCATTCAGAATAATGAATGAATGAATCAATCAATCAATCAATCTTGAAAAGACATCAATGCACTAGGGACATCCCTACACGTGCTCCGTCCCCTGCTTCAATAGCCAACGAGAAGTCGACATGCGGACAATAACAGTTGCAACCTATGTTTCTCCCTCAGAGATAAATATCTACATCTACTCCCCCCTCCCCCTTTTTTTTTCCTTCCCCATTTGAAATGGCCTTTCAGTGTATGGATTCTTTTTCAGAAAGCAATCACAAATTTAAAAAAAGGGTAATGTGATCAGCATTACGCGGGCCGTCTTTACTTCCCCAGGACGTACATCCTGGTACCCATTTTAGGCTGGGTCGACCTGCGACACCAAAACCTATGATACAAATCCAAGCAAATCGTAGCTTGGTGAATGTAAAATTGCCTGGTATTACCACACATCAACAAATAACTGCTGGGTTGGTTTGTGAAGTTGTCAGCTTGTAACTAGCTAAAAAGAACCAAAAAAAAAAAAAAAAATATCTTTCTCATGCACACAGAATTTCATTTCATTCGTACGTGAAAGCTTAATTACCGTTGACTCTACGACATCTCCGTTACAAGCCACCTCAAGAGAATCACGATCTGAAAAGTAGAACATAAAATATAATAATATCAGGCTATTTTTTTTTTCCTCGAACGTTATTGTTGCTGTTGTTGCTGTTATTTTAGTTACTGTTGCATGACAGCCCACACCCCTCTCGTCTTAGACTTGTCCAGATCTTGTCACCTCTATGTAAATAAGGCAATTTAAAATAGTGGACTTTCCTCTATAGTTAAATAGTCCTTCTTTTGTGATTATGTGTCAAAATGTCGGGTTAGGTGGTCAATTATATCCTAATTATCTTAGAATATAACGATATGTTTAAATTCAAAACCTTAGATGGGAGATTCATTGATAGTGAGGCCAAAATTTCAGTGGCCTAACTACCGCTTTAGTCGCGGATGAATCCCCTCCCGCCTCATCGGGAGAGACGCTTAGTTTGAACTGATTCTTGACTGAGCTTTCCGAGAGGACACAGAGGGCTTGCTGCCTTTTCTGAAAGTCTGCTTACCTCTGTTTGAATCACTGATTCATCCAAGAATGTCTTTGAGCACCTGCCACGACCAGATGGTGGCATACATTTTAGAGTATAACTCTTTATTAACACGGACCCAGCTTCCGTGATATACACAGGACAGTGACAGTATTATTGGGTATATGTTCAGACCGTTTATTTCGATTATTAAAGAGTGATGAACCATGATTCAAGGAAGATTTCTCAAGTAATACCTGCTCTACTAGACGTGTAAGGAGGCCTCCATTCTAATGAACAGGACATCTTGGACAGCTAAGTCGTGTAGGCTGGCACCTGCAGTTAATCCTACAACTAAGTGCCAGTTCCTTAGGTCCATAGTTCCACATTTTGGCAGTGGTGATTTTTGCTGCTATTAGAGACAACCCAGGAGCCTATCTAAAATAGGATGTTCTTTGGTTCTTTTGTGGTGACTGATCATGCTGAATTTTTTCCCTTTTATTCCTACATGTGTTGCACTAATTACATGATGTTTTGTGATTTTCACATTCTATTTTTAGTGTCCATCCTTCACAGTTCCTAATTGTCTGGAATATTTGTGGTATTGTTTGTTATACTTCAAGTTATACTGTTTTTTTTTTTTAATTTTTTTTCTAGCTTAGGATTACTATATAGTCTGTGAGCTTAAAAGTAATGAGGAAGTCAGGGCAAGTTGCGCCCAGGAATGTTTATGTAATTTGTAGTGCCATAATTTAAGTCGCCCCCCCCCCCCCTGACGTAAGTTGGGTGTTCATTGGAACTGTGGGATTCCGCCTAGACCATTGCGAGCCGGCATCTCAACACTAAAACTACTTCAGCGTGCCTTTTGGTTCATTAGGGGAAACCCCAACAAAGGCGCGTGACACTAGCATTATGTGACAGTTAATATAGTGGTTTTTGTTGTTCTTCTTGTTACCACAGTGAGCTGTCTATGGGTATGTGCATCTGTGTGTTTGGGTGAGTGTATCAATATGGAATGGGAAGGGAAACGGGTGAGGGCGACAGGGTCGTGCTGTGCTCATGTTAATCCGTTGCAAAGGCTGATTTTCATTTCTTCGAGCTTGCTCTTAATGTGTGGTCGACCCCTGGCTCTGTAATCCCTATACATCTTCAGCGTGGCTCTGATGTCGACACAGCTTAAAATGTGTACTCATAAGTATCACGAAAAGAAAATGCGGTCTCCGTGACTTTGACCAAATGACTTTCCGAGGAACAATTAGTATATAAAAAAAAAACGAGTCTGGCATCATTTGCCCGTTGCGCCACTGGCGTAAAAAGACTCGTAGGCTTATCTTCTTGCTCCACACACACACACACACACACACCACACACACACATACACACCCCACACACCCACACACACCCCCCACACACATACACACACACCCCCCACACACATACACACACATATACACACACAAACACACCACAAATCGTCATGCAAAGTGAAAACAATCACATGCAAAAAGTATATTTTGGAACATTTTCTCCCATTTGCTGTTAGGCTTTATTTTACAAACTCATTACGTTCCTGTAATCTTACCTCGGCACGTTATCGATTCGATTGTATTTATACGTACTTGCCTGTGTTTACATTACGTCACTAGTTATTTGAGTAGCACTGGTTGCCTTTGATGTCTCCTGCATTTCGTAAAACTCAAAGTAATTGGGATATATTAACACCCCTGTTTTTAAATAGACGTACAGACATACAGGAATACAGATATAAAAAGAGTAGACAGGCAGACATCATCACCATCGTGTGTCCTGCCAAAGACAGGCAGACAAAGGCATATATAGGGATACGCAGCAAATGAGTACAATCAGAAATGCGGACAGACAGAAATATCTAAGAATATGATAGTTAGATAGATAGTTAAGTAGTGGTAACCTTCCTCACACTGAACAATACCGCCCCCAAGTGCAGGGAATACTATCGTAGCAAAGGCGCTAAAACCTGGTTAAGCTCCGATCCAGTCCGATCTTGAGCAAACAGCTCTGTGTTGAAGGTCACACGCGAGCTTATTTTTACTAATTCGGCTTTATCCAAACCTAAAAACTGTTTTCAATTCTTTTTGGAAAGTTAGTTGGTTAGTTGGGTATCCTTTACAGGACGTTGCAGAACCAACCCCAACAGCCCCTTTAGTTTTTCTAGGCAAATTTTCGTCCAGTAGTTTGCAATTGCTTACTGGACGGTGGGCTTTATTGATACCACTGTCGAAACCAACGCATGGCGCATGGTCCGCAGTTGGGATCGAACCCGGCATCTCGGCATTACGAATTTTGGAAAGTAATATATTCAAAATTGTAAAACTATAAATGGGGGTCCAAAGGACGTTCTGTAGACGTGGAAAGATCGCTCTCCTACGAGATACGCCTGGCCAAATTAGGAAGAACATGACCCAAGAGGAAAAACACAATCAGACATCAGAAAGGATCGTGCGGTTGAACTGAGAGGAGGAAGGATGTAACCAGAGAGCAGAACATTAGCCACGAAAGCGGCGCAAATTAACCAGACTACAAATATAATCAGACACTGTTGACGGCTTCGGCTAGCTAACAGCAGATTGAAAATAGTCGAGTTTTTGATTTTGTTTATACAGGGACTTGGACTTGGACTTTTTAAAGGCGGCTAATTTGAAAAACATCAAACCAGCAACGTCACAAGACTTAAAAAATAGAACAAAGAGCCATACCAGCCTGCTTTACTCATACTGTCACGTCTGCGCCTGTCCTAACTTTCAATAACAGTAAGTCAGTGATATGTGTTAGAGTCTATGTGTTAAAGAAGGCTTAATTTGTTGTTACCTGGCTAGAAATAACAAGGAAAGGGTGGTCAGGAAAATGTGGAAGGTTTTTGACATAGGCACCGGATCCTGGGGGATTAGAAAGTCTTTCCTTTGGTTGGGGGGGGGGGGGAGGAGGGGCTCAGGTCCACTGCCCCCCCCCCTTCCACCTTCAATAAATGTCCAAGAAAATTAAAGAAACACTGTAACCACGAAAAGCAATGTTCTATACAAGTAATTGCCTGCAGGTTTCATATTATTTCAAGTATATTATTTTATTCTTTTATTTTTAAGTTTATGAACAAATACTTCAAAAGATCATATCATAAATGATTAATAGGGGCACCTTAGCACCCATTACAAAATTAATGTGTATCCATGTGTGTGTGTGTGGGGGGGGGAGAAGAGGGGGAAAGGGGGAGGGGGAAGTGGTCTTGTTCCTCTACTAATGATTTTTACTTCTTCTTCTTCTTCTTCTTCTTCTTCTTCTTCTTCTTCTTCTTCTTCTTCTTCTTCTTCTTCTTCTTCTTCTTCTTCTTCTTCTTCTTCTTCTTCTTCTTCTTCTTCTTTTTTCTTCTTCGAGGGTGCATGTCACTGGCACAGGAGACTCACTAGGAATTAGCTGACATCGAATACGTTGACTCGAAAAGCGTTTACACCACAAATTAGTTGTAAACCACAAAATAATGTGCCAGTGGCCCCTTTAAGGCCAAACGCAGAAGTAAAAGAAGATCAGTCACCGACAGACTGATAGGTAAGTCAGGAAAAGGAAATAGGTAAGTGGGGGAATTGTGTGGAGGGGAAAGAGTATGATTGATTACAAATTAAAAAAAATTTAAATAAGAAAATGAAAGTAAAGAAATAGACGTAGGACTGTAGAAGGCATTTAACTCAATGAATAAGAAGGTAAGATTCACACGGGCGCTCCCTTGTGGGATGCATTTGTTGTTGTTATTGTTATTTTGAAGCCCCACCTTAGCTTGTGTCGGGAGCCCTACCAATTCCAATTCCAATTCGTCCAACAAAAATTTCAAATTTGATCCTCTTTCAGCCGCCCGGGGGCCTGCTATAACGAAGAAGGTTCCTTAGCTGTCTTTTATGGTTTCCTTTTGTTTGTGGTGTGCAGTCACACCTGATATTACGGTTGTTTGCTTCCTTCCTGTGCTGTTTGTGGTTTTTTGGTTCTGGTGTGATCCAGATCTCTTTTAATATAGCCGGGCCTTAAATATGGCCTAACGGCTGAACGGGGTTTCCGGGACCTCTCCACGGGGGATCCTCATTCGCATGGTGGCACTTTGTGTCACCGGGTGTTTATCGCTGGGGTACAACTTACCTACCTACCTACCTACCTACGGGGATTCACACGGGTACTACTTTGGAAGTCGCCAGAGATATCCTAATCTGCAACGGCTAACTGTCAGAAGCAAAAACTTGACTAAAAAAGTAAGCCCTCCTGTTCATTGTATTGACCGGAACTCTAACAATTAGGTGCAGTTTACCAACCCTAGAAGCAAGGGGAGAGAAACTGTCAGCGATCCATATTTGTTTACAAAGGCATTTTATTCGATGATATCAATAGAATGAAAGACCTCCCCTTTCTCGCAGTTCCCTTGTCAAATATGTTTGCACCTTTCTTGTTCTCTATTTATTAAAAATTATCAATATATGAAAAGACAATCGCGTGTTTTCAAAGCAAAGAATAAGTATTTGCCTAAGACCATTAGCAAGCTCGATTTTTCATAAT